ATATATATATATATATACATAAATTTTCTCGTAGCATTATTGAAGAAATTGAAAAGTTAATACATAATAAATATTTTGTACGTATTCTTTAATTTGATCTTACTCCACATAAAAGCCGTATAAAGTTAAAAACATTAAGCTTTATATAGAACTAGCACGCCGCGGGTTCTGCTAGTAGTATAATATATTTTATTTATACGAAAAAAAAACATATTTCTAAGTTTACATTATAGCTTTTCATTTAATATCATCTCTCAGTGTACCTTTAACTTATTCTGTTGTAATGTTTTCGGCAACTAATGGCACCGAACACACGTAGACTCCCTCGTGACTCGTACCGATACCTTGATTGGTATCCAGTCACGTGGAAAGTCTATATATGGTAATATTATCGAGTGGTTATCGAGTTTCAATATTCAGATAACATTTAAAATAGTGGAATAGTGTGATATATAGTTTAAGGGTTTCGTTCTCGTATCTATATTAATTGGAAATAAAACCTTTCTGAAAAATATGTTTATTTATTTGTATAATGTTATTAAGACAATACTTTCTTAGATTTACGCGAATATTTGACATGTATATATTTATATACATATAAAACAAATTTATAACTCAAGAACAGCTAGACCGCTTTTTATGATGTTTGATTTGTTGAATTTGTATCCGCCCTGAATAGCAGAATATATACATATAATAAAATTCTAACTAAGCCGAATCTGTACATAAAATATTTTTTTGAAAATCTTATTAAAATAGACATTATTTTCGATACAGAGGCCGAATCAATAGTTTTTAGAATTATTGTCTGTCTGTCTGTTACCGAATCACGGAAAAACCACTAGAGGGATTTTGATGAAATTTGGTATGATGATAGCTGGTTATCCGAGTAAACTTATAGGATACTTTTTACTGCAGAAAAATATGTCATATCTGAGAAATCTATACTAAAAGTTAAAACGTAATCGCTATTCTATTCAATACTTTTCAAGTAAAATGACTGTGTAATACGAACGAAGGACAACAACTAATATGTTCCGTGTTTTCCTTTTAACTACGGAACCCAAAAAAATCTTCATTTTAACCCTTCATTTTAATATTCAAGATATTATTTAAAAATATGTTGTATATTAATTTTTGTAACAAGCTCGCGTGTGTTATTAATATTACCATAATTTTACTCCTATTTAAGTTTCTAAGAAAGCAGCGCAATTTAAGTTAAAAGTAAGTCCGTGTTTCATATTATATTTACGTTTTATTCTCTGCAAAGATATTTTAGTTTAGATGAGGTTTTACAATTTACTTTTAGTATGAAACATGCTTTTCTTAAACATATTAAATATCATGTTATTTTACCTCAAAAATGAACTATGCAGAATTTTTAAATCACTGTAGTTATAAAGCAAGTATTTATGACATACTAGCAGAACCCGCGGCTTCGCTCGCGATAAGACTACAATAAAAAACTCTAGAAAGGTAGTTTCATAAAAACTTTCGTCCTCTATTTTATGATCTTATCTATATATAGCTATGAATTTCGAAAAATGCTAAACCATGTATTTATTTAATTTTATTGAAAAGCATTAATACCAAGTTTCAAGTAATTCTGATCAAACATATTTTTTTGGATTGTATTATAAAGTGTTGTCCCGTGGGAATTAGGTAAACTCCCGCGGTTAAAAGTAGCCTATGTCACTCTCCAGCCCTCCAACTATCTCCACACAGAAGATTACGCCAATCTGTCACTCCGTTTTGACGTGAAAGAAGGACAAACAAACAAACACATTTATAATACTCGTATGGATAGATAGACATGTATAAATAGGCAAAGACAAAACAGTCCAGTATCTTTTTCCCTTGTGTTCTACAATCGCTTTTTTTTAATAATATTTAACTTTAATATTATCAATGAAAAATTATGATACGTTACTTACAGATATAAAAGAATGAACGATAATTAAAAAAAAATCTGCACATCTCAGTACCATCAGAAAAAGAAAGGCCCCTCGGTATATATTGAGCACGCAGGAATCGCATACAATGACCCCATCGCCGATTTTCAGTGACCACCTTAGATTTTCAAATAAAATATATTTCATATATTATTATTATTATAACCAGTTTAGTTTTCATATAAATATAACCTGTAAAGTGAGAGTTTAGTATTAATGTTGCACATTTTCATGAGAGTGCCATCTGTCATGAACATGAAAAAGTTAAAAGAAAACTCTGCAATTTAATGAAGCTTTCATATTTCAAGAGAGATGGCGGTAATAAATTCATAAGATAAAAGCGACATCTATGGATATAAAAAAAAATTAATTAGTGCTTTTTTATAGTTTACGGGGGATATTTAAAATAAAGTTTAGTTATTAGCAAAACTTACACATAATAAGTGTTGTTAAGTAAGGGTAATATAAAATAAAATAAATTAAATAAAGTTTAAAAGCTAAAAATTTTAAAAGCTCGATATAGAAAAAGCTGTTTTAAATCTACATATATCTATAACAGTCCTTCCACCAACCACCCTATCCACCTACCGGTACACTGTAAAACCATCTAAGTTTTTCAAGTGTTGCTTCGTTTTACTAGATGGCGGTTATGTAGACTCTCTGTCACTTACACGGCATGGATGGAAGGATCATTATGTTATACCCATATACATAGACAGTGGACTTGAGTGTTTCTTTACCAGCCGTCAGCTAAAAATGGCGGAAAGGCGCGACAGAGACAAAACGAATGTGCGGCCAGAAGTCTTTTGTATTAATTGAAACATGATTGATATATGAAGATAGATATTTATAACCATTTTTCATTCCATTAGGTATCTATACATATAATAAAATTGTAACTGTTTGTTATAAAATTATTGATACAGACGCCGAATCTATAGTTTTTAGAATTTTTGTCTGTCTGTCTGTCTGACTGACTGTTACCGCATGACAGAAAAACCACTGGAGGGATTTTGTTGAAATTTGGTATGGTGATAGCTGGTTATCCGGGTCAATATATAGGATACTATTTACAGCGGAAAAATATCTCATTTCTGAGAAAAAATACAAAAACTGCAATGTAAGAGTATATTAATATGTAAAACCTAAGAATTTGGTTTTTAGGCATCTGAACGCGAGTGGAGCCGCGGGCAATGCTAGTAAATAAATAAATATACAAGAATTTCTTGTTTAAAGGTATTAGATAATTCTGCATTAAAAACTCTTTCGGTAAATTGCTTGTTTGGATAATTATTGAGAGGGCGAGTTGTAAGTTAAAAGATTATTATATAAGTACAACAAAATTTTCTTGAACAGCTACATCTACAACTCGATAGTTAAACAAAGGACTCTCTTCGACGAGAGGGATTCATAGTACAATAACATTGTGCGTTTTGTTTCTAGAAATTTATTTATTAAGAAAAAAAAATATTTACAGTTTTTTTTAATTAGCATTTATATAAAAGTAACTTTAAATGCCACATTTTATTCGTTATCGAATTTATTCGGAAACTTTAAAGCTACACTTACTTTAATGTAAATGCGATTAATAAAAAGTATTTTTTTTTATTAAAAACAACGACGTAGAAATGCTTTTATATTTTAAAAATATAAATTTATTTAAAGAATATTCTTTATATATATAAAAATAAGTAAAAACGAAAAAAAAGCTTTCTTTCATATTATATTATTAAAAACAAGAAAAACCTTGCAATATTGTAATAACTATAGCCACAAATTCGATATTTTTGAAGCAGGTTTTAGAAAAAATGTCATTCTACAATCCTTGAAGAATAGGAATTTCAAAAATAGTATTGAAAAAAAACATATTAAATCGTTATATAATTTCCATATATCTATACATATAATAAAAATGTAGAGATCGAATGTCTGTACATAGAAAAAAAAAATTTTTGTTTCTGTTTGTTTGTCAGTTTGTACGGGTTTTAAATAAAACTATCTTTTTGAACTTTTTCGTGGTTTTATTTTGATTTTTAGTTCCCGACGTTTCGAATGCTTTACAGCAATCATGGTCATGGGAAGGATTATATTAGACATATTTTTTATTAGATTTTTCAATCCCGTGTGTTCTCAATTCTATAAGATATTGGCATAATTGGAGCATTGGATTGGAGTAACTGGCGTAAATGCACTCAACTGACACGCTTTGAAGTTATCACAAACAAAATTGATATGAATTGACATTTCCATTCTTTAACAATAATTGTAGAATAACATCAATATTATAAATGCGATAAATATAAAGTTTGTATGTATTTTTTAATGTTGAACGGATTTTGATGAAATTTGGCAAATATATACGTCTTGGACAATAATTGTACAAAATATTTTATATCCTGAAACATTTTTCATACGAGCAAAGCCGCGGACAGTCACTAGAATAATATAGAATTAATTAAATTATAGGTATTTTGTAAGCATTATATAATATATAGATAACATTTATTTACAGTGACTAGATAAGAATAATCTAATAATTATAAAATAATTAACAGATTTCATTCATTCATTAAAATAAAAGGTACGAAGCAGAGATCGTGCTTAATTTAGTTAAAGAAAAATCAATTATTTAAAAAATAATTAAGTTCTTTAAATATTTATAATATAAATAATAGAAATTACAAGTATTAAATACAGGATTGTAACTTAACCTACATCTTCTAAGACTAATCTATGTAATATACATATGTAGTTTGTATTTTAAGAAGATCTTTGTCTATACTGTTCACAGGTTCAATTCTCGCTTGATGTAAAGGACTTCGACCATTTTTCTTTGGAAACTGACATCTTATATTCCCATTTTTACCTTCGAATATCTCAGAAAATTATAATCAATTTCTGTTTTATTATCTCACTCATGCATTCTTTAAATTTATCCTATACACACAGACAAAAATCAAACCTGTGATAACAGTCACATAATATTCCGACTAAAAATATAACAAATCGCGCCACAATCGTCATGATAGAACATTTTCTCTTCATCTATTTACATACTTTTCTACATCCATTATGGCATACATTATTGTATCGTTTCTGGCATATAAAAGCCATATCATGACTGTGGCATTTGATGTCACATTTGTGGCGATTCAATACTATGTGTCCTTGTCCTTGGCCGGAATTACAATCACAATTACTAAAAAATGTGTGATCTGTTTTATAGTTTCCTAAGCGTTTGTGATCACATGAATAGCTTTTTAACGGCATATCACAAACGTGTATTGATCTATCATGGTTCTGGCATGTCATATCATATTTCTGGTTTTTTAAAGACGCTTGTCCATAATCATGCCTGGATAAATGGTTATTTTGAATTTTTAAAGAGTCACGTTCACATTTGTAAGGTTTATCGAAGTTTTGCTCGTATTTTTTCTTGGAAGTTGTTAGCCTCGATGTAGTCGTCAATCTTTCATGTGTCAAACTAGTGGAACAACAAAATGCACGACGAAACTCTCGGCGATATTTACCTGAAAATAACAATTAGACACATCTTTGTATACACCACGTAAAAGAATCAACACACGATCTTACTACTTTAGACACAATGCTTACTACTTTAGAAGCATATACACTATACAGCTACAACTATGTATTTAGTTAAACAAAAAAATCATTTGAAAACGTTTATGAAGACTTGAAACACCCCTCAATTATAAACACCCCTCAATTATATGCATGTATGGACGGCCATTCCAATTATTTTATTTTTGACTATTTTGAAATTTGGCTACAGAATTATCTGGCTATTTACATGAGACATTTTAAAAGACTTAAGAAAAATGCTGTGACATGCGAACGGTCAGACATTGCCAAATTATAAGGATTTCATTTTAGCCATTACGCTACGGAACCCTAAAAAGCCTAAAATATTGTAGAATGTCATATTATGTAAGCCCTCTGACCCTTGTTATATCCTTCCTAATTATGAAGCTTAGTCCTTAGAAGCTTACATTGTGATATATTATATTGTTGGAAAATGTCACTTTTCATGCTATATAATTGATTTTGAATAAAGTGTCGTTTTAAAATCCCATCATTAATCTTATAGATCTAATACCATAAATTCCTTGTGGAAACCGTTTTTATATTAATGTCTCATATAAAACTGTGCTCCATAACTATATCGCTCTGGCTGTTTATTTCGTTAAGTTAATTAAAATATTAATAAGCAATTTTAATTCATAAAATTATGTATATTTTTATATATATATATATATATATATATATATATATATATATATATATATATATGTATAAAATATATAAAATTTTATTGTAGTTTTAGACAGATGTATTCCACGCCTTACCAAATGATTCTAAATTTGGATGAAATTTAGTACATAGAGAAATTATGACCCGGAGACACACACGAGTTGATCTATACTAATATTATAAAGGAATGATTTTTTCGTTTCTTTGTACCGAATAAGCTTCCAAACTACTAAACCGATTTAGATGAAATTTGGTAAGAACATATTTTGAGACCCTGTAAAGGACATAGGATAGTTTTTATCCCGGAAATCATCCCTTAAAGTTTATTTTTTTCATCATTATAATGAAATCCGTTAGCTATTTAATCTTTTAGCTTATATAATATTTGAACACTATTATCATGTATATTATTTTAAAATATCATTGTTTGTCTTTATGTTCTATGACATTCTGTCTTTTGAAATCCGTATAACTTTAAAGTTACCAAGTATTATTCACAGTAGGAGTACCTATATAAGAGCACTTACCACTCATAAAGTTATATATTAGTGGATTGATAGCAGAATTAGCATAGCAGAGTACATGGGATATGAGTGCCATAAATGTAATTACATCCGTTTGCTCCATATCCAATACATATCTGTAAAAGAAAATAATAAAATTAAAAATATTATCTATACATATTTTATCAAAATTGTTACATTATCTAATCTTTTGAGTGTATATTATTAGGTAATTTTGTGATTTTTTTTCTGTTACATATACATACATATATTATGTCAAAGTCTCTGGAACCCACTAATAGGAAATATGCGTGTGATTTAAATAGAGATGAAATATTTTTTTATAATCTTTATTGCTTTTGAATTAAGTCTATGTCAATATTTTTTATGTTATTTCTTTTTGATTAAAAAAATAATTATTAAAAAGTACAAATATAGGTGGGAAATTCAAAGTAGTTGAAACACACGCCATTGGTCATACCAAATATGACGTCAAAGTATTATCATAACAGAGCGATTAGCGATTTTGTAGCTACAAACTAAACCGTTATTCTTCTATGTGTAATACAAGTTGTTTGGAGCTGGATATTTTTTTACAATTACTATAATATAACGATGTTAGCCATTGTATAAGAAATTTTAAAAAATCACGCAATATCCCTATTGCGGATGGCATAAGAGTTGCTCTCGTGGATGTCTTTGGAGGAGCCCTATATTCAACAGTGGGCCTTTCGGTTAAGAAAAAGAAGAACCAGTGGCGTATTTTAAAATTTGGCGTCCTGGACCCATAAGATTTACCGTCAGTTATGTTTTACGCGCCTTGTAGTTTAACACATTTTTTCTTACTTTATACAAATTTATTTACAAAATAACATAGGCTTGTACTACTGTTCACAGCTTACCGCCCTAGACTTTGGACCCCACTGCATTAGAGTAACTACGAGTGAGGGGAATCAATATGAATCAAGAAATAATGTATAATCTGTGCAAATCCAGCGCGAAGCCTAGACGGTGTACGTCAATATCAATCGATGCCTGATTTTATTCAGTAGGACCTCCCTGACTTTGCCCAAGTGTGTCCCAGTTAATAATAAGGTTAAATCTATATCTTGTATCACGCATAACTATACCTTCTTTTTTAAAGTTGGTGAATTTCATCATTGTTCCTTACCAATTTGTAAGGCAATGTTGTTATATATTTTTTTTATTACTATTTCGTTACATTTCTAAGCTTCAATGAACCCACAGAAACAGATCAGCTACAAATTACTAAACCTATATCAACTATCCGTCTGTCTGTCAAGCGTTTAAAGGGTTTCGTTTACATTTTCTGATGCTTAATAAGTAGTTGAAATTTTCCCAAAAGTGAGTACGAGAATCAATTGCTAGAATTTATGTTTAGGAGTGTACAAGTTATATAAAACTAGCGGCTCACCGTCACTTTGCTCGGGCTTGCCTCTAGAAAAACAATAACAAATATATTCCACGGGAACCTGTTGACGTGTTATGTACACAAGGAGTTATATATAAATGTATGAATGTATATATGTATGTATGTATATAAAAAACTTACCTTAGTACAGAAAGAAGGTGAACTGGAAAATAGCATACGGCGAACATTACGACCACTGCCACCAACATCTTCGCAGCTTTTCGACGAGATCGGAGTTGTGCTGAAAAATCAATTTTGGTAATAAATATTAGAAACAGTTTTATTTATAACATTTTTTCTATTCGCAGCTCTACTGTCGATCGAATCCTTTGGCCAACAATGAAAGTCTTATTAAAATCGGTAAAGCCATTCCTGAGAGCAGTTATAACTTCTAGACAAACCGATACTTTAATAATTGTTTAAACTTTAGTATTGCAAAATACCCATGTGAGTACATTATAAAGTAGCTATTTTGAAACCAATCGCTTCAGTTCTATTTGTAGCTGTTTTACAGAAGCATTACAATCAATCAAATGGTATAAACTTAATTTAGATGTAGAATTGATGTTATGATTTCCTTAAACCGCCACAACAGCTGTCTAATAAATATCAAAGTTTCAAACAAATGTGCGTAAGTGCATACATACATCGATCAAAATCGGCGGAAACAAATTCTACGAAACAAAGATCATCAAAATCGATCCAGCCGTTCTTGAATTATGTAACTAATCTGACTTTGTTTTATTAAGCCCCTACGCAAAAGAGGGGTATTATAGTATTAAGTATAGTTTGAAGTCGATATCTGTCTGTCTGTGTGTGTCTCTGTTGGGATCGTAGCTCTCAAACGGATGGACCGATTTCGATGCGTTTTTTTTTATTTAAAAGCCAGTTTCCTTGCGGTGGATCTTGGCTATGTCAAGTTAATATCGGTGTAGCAGTGTAGGAGTATCAGCTCTTTTCCAAAATGATGCTAGATATTTCGGCGTATGATTACTCGATTAAGTGCTTCACGCGTGCCAGTGTAATCGTTAAATGACAATTAATTTGCGTAAGGGGTTTTTTAAATTTTTAATTTTACATAATATAGATTACGTAGTTCTATATTCACAGCTAAGTTAGTGGTTCTAGTTAGTTCAGAAACCGTTTATACTAGCTGTCCCAAATGAATAAATAAAACACAAACGTTTACGAAAACCTTTACGAAAATAGATAAGCGATTACTATACAGTTCGTGTAAACGATTGCTGAAACTGACAAAACTATCACTTTGTAAAACCAGCAATTCTTTTAAGATATAATTTTAATAATATATTTACAATTAAATAAAATACATTGAAATTATCACTACTAAATACACTTAATCTATACATATATGTAATAGTATGCTGAGTTGAATCTGTATATTAAATATTTTTGGAAAAATCTTATTGAAATAGTCATTATTATCGATACAGAGAACGAATCTATAGTTTTTAGAAGATCACAAGAAAACTAACTAACTAAACACCATTGGCAACAGATTTTGATGAAATTTTGTATGAACATAGATGATTATCCTGGTCAATATATAAGATACTTTTTACTCCAGGAAAATATCTCATCTCTGAGAAATCTACTAAACCTTAAAACGTATATAATAACGCTAGTTATACATATATATCAAAACAAATGTACACGAAATTATAACTGTACAAGTCATGTCCGCATGGAATTGTGGCAAGAAATGCATCGCTAGGTGCTTTCAACGCTGAATGACAGTGTTGACAATTCTGTGGAGCGCTCTTATCACCAGCTATAGAGCTAATAAGACGAAATGTTATGTCTCCTAGAAGTGTTTAGCTTATCGACACCATTTTTTTTACGTTGGGGCATTTACGCACACCACCTGTATTCATACAGGTGGTTATTGGGATTCATCAGCTAGAAAAGCCAGTACTAGCCACTACAAATCAATTTGATGGCGCTCTTAATCTTACTTAATATATTGCAAAATTTTCTTCATAGTACAGTTATATATCTAGTACTGCTACATCATATACTTTTGATATTGCACTGCTATTTACAAACATTTACGTAGGTTTGATTTACAAACAAAAGTTTGATAATGAACGTAAAAGACTTAGCCAATAGTTTTCTATAATAACTATATACTAACGGTAATATAGAAATAAATCTATACATATAATAAAATTGTAACTAAGCCGAATCTGTACATTAAATATTTTGTGGAAAATCTTATTAAAATAGACATTTCTATCGGCACAGAGGCCGAATCTATAGTTTTTAGAATTTTTGTCAGTTTTTGTCTAATCAAAAATATTTTTTTGGGTTGTATTATAACGTGTTTTCCCGTGGGAAGGAGTAAATCTCCTGGAGTAAAAATCAGCCTATGTCACTCTCCAGTCCTCCAACTATCTTCACACAAAAAATCCCGAAAAATCCGTCACTCGTTTTGACGTGAAACAAGGAAAAACAAACAAACAATCACACTTTCACATTTATAATATTAGTATGTATAGCATATTGTCGTATCTCTTCTCGCGTCCCTTAACAGTAGAATTACTCCACTCTCGTAAATCGTAGTATGACGTAAGATAGTCTATAACCATCCTCGATGAATCGAATAAACAAACACAAAGACAGACAGACAAACAAGCAAACTCTTCAGCTTTATATATTAGTATAGATAAATTTCACCTAATAAAGTACGAGTAAATAGCATTAAAAAAACACATTCAACGAATATAACATGTATGTAATATGAAAAATGGACCTCAATAATATAGCATAAAAATATTAAGTTTATTGCTAGGACTTTAAGGAAAAAAGCAAATAAATGTCAGACATATTTTACACTAGCAGTACCCGCGGCTTAGCCCGCGTTTAACTTTCAATATAAACATCAGTTTTACAATAATGTATGGAAGTCTGCCCGATTTGTTGAGAATTATCCTCCGCTCCCTTGGATAGCAGCATGATGATATAATTATAGCTATAGCCTTCCTCAATAAACGGGCTATCTAATGTAAAAAGATTTTTTCAAATTGGATTAGTAGTTCCTGAGATTAGCGCGTTCAAACAAACAAACTTTGTCTCTGTATAATATTAATATAGATTTTATATCAGTTTTCTACAAAAATGCTCATAATCTTATAAACTGAACAAACCGCTAAAATGTCTTAATGAAAGCTTTGAAGCATCAATCACTATCAAAATATTTTTGTTTCAAAAGCCATTTTTTAATAGCTTTGCAAGAGTAAACGCGAATATGACTCACAATACAGTATATCTGCCATTTGATAAGAAACATGCATGTATAACTTTTGGTAAGTTACGTGATAGTGATCAATTCTTTCTTCTACGTCGAATAAACTAGGTTCGATGCTGACATGGATAGAAAATCCATTTTAAAAGGTTTGACGATTCGAAAGAGATTCAGAAAATTCTACATATGTATCCGCTTTAATTTAAATACAATCTAAGAATGCATAAATATTTAGCTATCATGTTATTTTAGGGATCGCGTTTACAGTTTTCTTGGTAATTGTCTAATACTTTAAAGAAAATGGTGAAATCACACTAATATTATTATAATCAATTACAGTATTATTTTTTATATTCAAATTTAAACTTCAAAGTATTTATGTAGAGTTATGTGTTTAACCCGTATGTATGTATGTCCGATCCTACTTTTCTCCGTAATTACTAGACACTAGACAGCTTGACCGATTTTGATACGTCGCGTCGTTAGGTTCGTCTAGATACCGCGAGTGTCGTAGATAATTTGACCCGTCAATTTACTCCCATCTTTTCAGTTCGCTTTTTTTTATTTGTTGTTGTTTTTTTTTTAAATTAAAACCTAAATATTTTTACGATTAAGATTCTTAAAAAATATATTATGTTACTTTTTCACCAATTAAAATTTGTGGCTATTTTTAGTTTTCGTGCATATACTTTTTTCACTCCATTCTTTCTTCTTCTACTGCAAGTATATACATAAGTACGTACCTATCCTATTATTTTGCTTTTGCTTTGACTTAAATTATTTTAAATGTTAATCTGAAGCAATAATTTTCGTCAAAATCAACCTTATGATTACTAATTTTTATAAAGTCTTAGCACTCACTTTGTTCCGCTGATGCAAGTTTAACAGTTTCCGCTTGACCCGGTATTTTCTTTGAGCTCCACAGAACTCTAACAATTTGATGGTACGCCACAGTCATTAACACAAGAGGTATCCTGAAAAAGATACTTTACTAAAAGTCTGGTTTTTGGTCGAGTACAATTAAGATTAGTTGCTTTAGTTTATACTGTAACATCCGACTTTAGTGTATATGTGAGTTGGGGGTTAATATTTTATACATTATTAACCCCCAACGCAACAAGAGAGAAGTTATAAGTTTAACAAGTGTATCTGTGTGTTTGTCTGTGGTATCGTAGCGCAAAACGAATGAACCGATTTTAATTTAATTATTTTTGTTTGAAAAGTGACTTTATTGAGAGTGTTTTTAGCTATAAATCAAGAAAATCCATTCAGCCGTTTGCAGGATATCTGCTCTTTTCTATCAACTGAAATCAGAAGTTTTGTATCCATAAGGTTTATCTTATTTATATACATATACTTCCATATTATGTTACATTTTGTATATATGCTATATGGTATTTCATATAAATACGTATGCACACATACACACACACAAACTCATATACATTTATACATAAAATTAAATAATTTTATTATATTTAAAATAGATACTTACGTATAAATTAATACAACTTTTATAATATGCCATACTAAGTCACTGGTAGAAGACCAAGTGGCTGTGCATTGTATGAGGTATTCCAGTTCGAATCTGAGTGGTACCATCTTAACTGTCGTCAAAACAATAAGTTCTGGGGCATCTGAAAAAATAACATACCAAAATACAAATAATCTATGTTTCTACACAATTGAAATAGGAAGATATGTATGTATGTATCCATCGTCAAGGTTGATATAAATTTTTATTTAAATATACAATATTGCATAAACTGCATTTTTAAACTAAAAAAATATTTACAAAAATATAAAAACCTGACTCCGTAAAAAGTGAACTAAAAATAAGAGAGCAAGTTTACGAAGGAACTAGTATTATGCAGTCGGAGACATACACACGCAGCTGTTCTAAAACATGTACATATCTTTACTAATATTATAAAGAGGAAAGATTTTTTTGTTTCTTTGTTTGTACCTAATAAGCCTCGAAAGTACTGGACCGGTTTAGATAATATTTAGTACGAAGATAGTTTGAGCCCCTGGGATGGACATAAGATAGTTTTTATGCCGGAAATCATCTCTTAAAGCCATCCCTTTTTGTATGGAAAATCAACTTATGGACGAACGCGAGCGAAACAAGGAAAACAATTTTTCCACTCTTCAGTGTTTTTTTTTTAATTTATTACCTCAAACAAAAATATTACTTTGAAATCCGTTGAAAGCCATACAAATTGTAATCTATATTTAGAAAAAGTTCTAAGAAGAAATTAAAAATATTTCGATTATTTACAGAGCTTACGCATCTACTATATACAATGTAGTACGTGTAGGTTATTATAAACACGCACGTTTAATAGTAATTGTTTACATATGAATACGTGCGTAGTGCGTAAATTATTTATGTCATTAGAACAATTTAAATCCCAGGAAAATATGTTCCCACAGGATGCACGTGAGTATGACTTACTTTCTTAACGCTTCCTGTATAATGGTGGATATTAAAATAAACGTGTGAAATTAAGTGTTCCGGGGTTTTTCTTAAGAATAACCAGCCTCTATAGATAAAATAATATCGCCGAGGAGTCCGACACCACAGATATCTCTTAATGTATGGACAAACCATCTTGTGACTTTAAAAAAATAAAGCAATTGACTTTTTATATATATATATATATCCAAAATTTAAAAAAAAGTTTATATTCTTCTTTTTTCTTGCTTATATTTGCTAATTTCAATATTAGAGGTAATTAAAAGATTTATTAAGTGGTGTAATCTCTTAGCTTTGCCTACAGATTTTAATTATATTGTTGTACTAGGGGCTCACCCACACTTCACTCGGGTTCGCCTCTAGATAAACCAAAACAAATCTATCCCATGGGAACTGTACATTTTTCCGGAATAAAAAGTGGCGTATTGCTATTCCAGATTATAATCTATATCTGTGTCTTTCAGATCAGTTCAGAAGTTCTGGCGTGATTGAGTTACAAACATCCAAACATCTAAACTTTCACATTTATAATGTTAGTAAGATTAGGTACTATATAAATCCACTATCCATTATGTAATTTTTGAGTGAAAGAGTTATATTAAGCATTTATTCATACATCGATACATCGTAGTCGTAGGCGTAAGGGTAAGTTAGGTACGTACTAAACCAACATGTATATTAAAAGTATATTATGTAAAATTTAATTTTGGGTTGGAAGTTAACTAGAGTTCGATATTTGAAATAAATAAATGTACGTAAAATAAATAATATATAATTAATAACTTACTGAACAATAGTGAGACAGTCCAAATGACGAATATAGCAGTCTTCGCGCGGTTTATCGTAGATTTAAACTTGAGAGGGAAGCAGATGGCATACCAGCGGTCCACAGAGATGAAGGTAAGCGTCAACACCGACACCGTCACCGATACTGACTGTAACAAACAAGTAACTATTATTCACTTAAAAACGCAATACATACAATATGTATACATAAAAAAAATAGATATTATACCGAATATCAAAACGCAACTAAACCAAACCTCGGATAAAGTAACTGTAAATAAAGGAACTGCGAATAAAGGAACTGCATTCGAACTTATAGCCTACAGTATTAACTTGTCATCCTGGGAATCTCCACACGTTCGCTCTCAAGATATCGCTAGTTATGGTTACCAGCCGGTTCCGTTGTTTAGTGTCAAGCACAATTTATTCGACTGATCTTGGCAGCAAGCTCTGACTCCGGTTCCAATTAATCACCTCCACAACATCCCTAATATACATTATATCTGTATAAATATTATAAATGTGAAAATTTGTAGTATGTATGGATATTTGTTACTCTTTCACGCCAGAACATCTGAACGCGATCTGGATGAAATTTGGCACAAAGATAAGAGATTATAGTCTGGAATAACGCGTAGGCTACTTTTTATCCCGGAAAAAATATACGGTTTTCGAGGGATAGATTTGTTGTCATTTTTATTGAGGATGAGCCGCTAGTACATTATAAACTATGACCTGGACCTGTAACACGCAGACCACTGTTAGTGATAAAATTTGCCAAATGGTGGTTTAAGCTGTATAATATAATATTATAAGTACTTAAGGCATTTTGGGACTCACTCGAAGGTAAGTCGCTAGTAATTAAAATATATTCACCATTAACAAATTCCAAGCATAATATAAAATACCAAAAGAGAATCTAATTGAAACCCCTACTGAGCTTTTATAAATAAGATAAAATGATTGATTTGTATATTTTACTTCGTGAATAAGCTTTCCATTGTTAGAATTCTTTTATATTCTATTGATAAATTATTTTAAATTTACTTTTCTACACAATAAATTTACAAAAGAACACTTTGCTGGCAGACGTAAATATAAGACTTTTATCTAATATCAGTACTAAATGAAATAAATGTAAAAACATTTATGTGATTCCCCTTAAAAAATATGGAGAGATGGTGCATAGACATTTCATTAACAAAAATATATTATAATAATATATGTCTACCTGTCTCGTACGATTTCTTATGTGTTTTGTTAATAAAATACTAGCAATTGGTCGTGATTTCGCTTTCGTAAATGAATAACTCGAAAATATTTGGCACTAATTCCTATCTTTCTCAAATTTCAGAGATTTGAGCGAGTGAGAAGTTGATGTGCTGCCGGGATGGCAATAATAATTTTGCCCGAAATTAAATTCTATTAAACTATATAGGAGTTCTATATAGAGTTTGTAAAATTTCACACACGTTTAATTTCTGTTTGACTCTGGAACCGTGAAAATTGATAGTCAATAAGTTGTTGAATGACAGAAATGTGTTATGCTTACAAGTTCTTTTACATCAATTGGATTAGTACAAAGATGTTGTATATTTCAAGACTCAATCCAAATATAATAATATCATAAACTTCAAAGTAACTCTGCCTCTTACCTTTTCACCCTTAAAGTATTGAACGGTTTTCTATAAAATTAAGGAATGACAAGTCAAATAATTAAAAAGATACTTGGTAGAAGATTACGATATTCCATGATGAACAAAAAGAAGATTATACGATCGGGCAATAGCCGATTTTCAGAAACGACCTGCTTGCAGAAGATGCCCTCAAGGGCATCGTGAAGGTACTGCTAGATCTTAGTAGGTGATACGGCGCATTTAAATATGCCTCATAACTATTTACATGAAAGGAAGGGATGGTACGTAAATGTATTCCATACCCTTAAGTAAATGCTATACATGAAATTGCGTCAGAAAAACCAACTCACCTTGTACATGTCTAAAATCACCGCTATTGCAATTTAGCTATTACAATAACTCTTGATATCAATCAATAAGTGTGTAGAGAACTAGCTAACTTTTGATTTAGTGCCAAATGTTATTATAAAATAAAACATTTTTTAAAATATTTATAACTTCCCGGAATGAAAAGCGAAATTATAAATTAGTTTTTGCTATTCCAGAAATATTACTAGAATATTTCTCACTGACATATATATTGTAAAACTACTAACCTCGGAACCTATGAATCATGTTAAAGCCATACAATATTTCTTTTCAGTAATAAGAAAACACAGGATTATGCCAATACCGGAGGAAAATCAATCAAACTGCGAACTGTCAACAACAACATAAGATATGATTGATATCTTCATACGGCTTATTTATGTAGATTATTGAGATTTGTAAACAAAAATAGAATTTTATTTTGTTTTACTGCAGACTATTGCTGGCACAATTTTTTAATTGTTAAACGATATAGTTGCATTCAACTAGTTGTAACATAAAAATCCAGACAGTAGGTGACCGCCCATTGATTTTAACCGAAATGCTGTCAAATGCAAGGTTTTCCAAATACACCAGTTTTCATAACAAAGCGACTCTAAGTAGCGCTGTAACGCCATCTCGTATACCGGTCGACACTAAAACCATTACCCGAATGTTATTTAAAAGTAAGTATTAATATGTGTGTTACTATTGATCAAATAAATTCAAATTATTTAAAAGATTATGTATCGTTCAAATTTTAGTTCCAAAACATAAACTAGATTTGTTTATGCAAGATGAATTTTGGCCTGAAGGCATTGCCTATCGTCGTTTTATTGATTTCAAGAAAAAAAAGGGAAGTCAAAAGTGAACTGACACTGGATACGGCTGCACGCAGTGAAGTAACTACCCTTAAGTATCGGGGAGAAACTATTTGTTAGATTTTATTATTATTATTATTAAATTTAATGATATTCATAAATATAAAAAACTAATTACTATGGATTATTGATCTGAAATAAATACTTATTATTATTATTACAGTCAGTATTACGTCATTCGCATACCCCCACACGCCTTGCACGATTGCCCTGCCTCTAGCCTAAGTATATAGATTATTAGCAGAACCCGCGGCTTCGCTCGCGCTAAAACTACAAAAGGACTCTTTGGCTTTATGCTATTAGTAGTTACAGACAGCCTACCCACAAATAACAAAATGAATTCAAAAAATTAAAAAATGGCACCAAAGTACCTTACAATTATTATTTTTTTGGAACTTTATGATTTGGAAATTTAAAAAACCAGTTAAATCTGGTCTACTACCAGTCGTCAGTGGCGTAGTCTTAGTATATTATATTATGATAAAATTATTTTTGATAAAAATTAGCTTAAAATAAAAATCTTCCGTACAATTTATAAAATAAGCCATCCACTTCCCTCAAATTAATTCTTGTCATAAAATTCGGTATATCCATTAGAAAAAACCGGCGAAAACCTTTTTTACCGACATTTTTTAGAATAATATTCAAAGCAGACTTTTTTAGGGTATAAATATTCAAACAGTATTTAACTATTACGTCCCCAAACTTTACCTGCATTTACATGATTTATCTATACTTAATATTATAAAGAGGCAAAGTTTGTTTGTTTAAACGCGTTATTCTCAAGAACTACTAATGCAATTTGAAAATTTATTTTTGCATTAGATAGCCCGTCTAATGAGGAAGGCTATATATATATATATATATATATATATATATATATATATATATATGAAATACATAGATATTTGACTCATTTATTATATAATTTACACGATTAATATTATGAGATAATTTTTTTATAGTTTGCAAAGTAGCTTTGAGTTAGGTAAATGTATTTTTTTTTTATTTGTTTATGTCGTATCATTAAAATTGTCTATACGTGACTAAAGAAAAAAATAATTAAATAGCCTATTTTAAATAAAACTATCTTCTCGGGTTTTTTCGCGGATTTATACTGATGATATTGGCTTGGCTCCCGACGCTTCGATTGCTTTACAATCATGGTCACGGAAATTAATATAAATCCACGAAAATCCGAAAAGATGATTTCAATTAAAATAATTATAGAATAGCCTAAATAAATAGAATCTTATAAGCGTACCTGGAAGTAGAGCAGGATTTTACACAAAGCATCTCCTAAGAACCATGTTTCCGTCACATCCCATAAAACGGTGGCGGGCAAACAAAACAAAAGCACCATAAAGTCTGCGATTGCTAAATTTACTAGGAAATAATTTGTCACAGTCCGCATAGTGTGGTTTCTGTATACAGCTACACACACTAACATATTCCCAACCAATCCTATAATGAATACTGCTGTGTGCGTGCCAATAAGGATCCATTCGTACGTTTGGGGGTATATGTAATCATTTAACATTGCTATGTAATCTTCTCTCGTCATGTTACAAAATTCTTTATCTCCCACGCATTCTGTTAGGTTTTCCTTCTCCATTTTTTCACTTTTGTTATTTTGTTTCAAGTCTTCTTTTAGATTTCTTTTAATTCTTGAATCAATTTTGATCCAATTATTATAGTTTTCATCGTCTATATCTGCGTTACTGTCTCTTATATTTAATGATAAAACCATTGCAATAAATAGTATTTTAAACATGTTTATTGTTTATCCTTTTAAACCATTTTGACTCTGTAACAATAAAAAAGGTAATTAATAAAATTTTATATTTTAACGGTATAATTTTCTTAGATAAGTATCAAGATATTATTTTGGTCGTCCTTTGTATGATTTTTGAAGGGCGATTTTGATATTGTACAGTATCCATGTAGAAAAATAATGTTTTACTTATTTATCGCAGATAGTTACGTAAGATTAATTGTTAATATTATATAATATTCGTACATGAGAAAATAAGTTTTAAAATAGTTATCAGAACTACACTGAGTTATGAAAACAAGCACATTCCAGAATTCTTGTGAATGTTCCCATATCCAACGGTTTAGGCTGTGCGCTATCTGTCAGTATGCTTTTAAAATTTTGTACCAACTATATTTTCGAGAAGTTAGAAGCTAGTTAATAGCTCTGATTTCGGGTAATAGCGCTCTACGTCTTTCAATCAAGGTAAAAAAAATGACTTTAATTCTAATAAGACAATGGTAACAAATGCACAAAGCCCTAATTCCTGAAGCAGAAAACTGTGCTTCAGGAGCAAGTACCATCCCATATCAGATATTAAATCTATACTAATATTATAAATGCGATAGTTTGTGAGGATGTATGGATGTCTGAATGTCTGGATATATAGATGTATGGACGTTTGTTACTATTACACGCGAAAACTACTTAATGGATATTAATGAAACTTTACAATAATATAGCTCATACATCAAAATAACACGTAGGTTACTTTTTATCCCGAAAAAATGTACGATTCTCGTAGGATAGATTTGTTTTAAAAGTTAAAAAGAAGAAGAAAAGGGAGAGAGAGAGAGAGAAAAAAAATTGCTACGTACATAAAGCCTTTTAGATAAAATAGTCATCAAAAATTCCTTTTTTATCTGAGTACGGTGAAATGGGTCCTTCGAGCGTTTTATGAAATTCATAGTCGAATTTAGAAATTCAGTTTAGTACCTTTATTCATTTTGCTAATAATTGTAACTTGAAGCACTCCGCCCAATAACGTACGTAAAGCCACGAAAAAAGAGAAAAAAATATTTATATCTTGTCTTCAATATAATTTATGAGGTTCATACACGTGGTTTGGAAGAAAAAGTTTGTTTATTCAATATCCGTTAATAGATGGGAGACGCTCTGTTTGGATTGAGCTGTAAACACGGTAATGTGTGATTAATGTTTAATCTATATATAAAAAAGGGCTAACTGCGAGTCAGTCAAGTGTGGTAAAGGGTTTCGTACATTATGGCAAAAATTTTCGCTTGCCAACTACAAGTGAAGCTAAACTACATCAAAAAGAGAGTGAATATTTTTAAAACTATAACTAATTTTTGAATATTTTCTTGAAATTTACATAACACCAAAAAAGTGATTTTGAAATAGATACACATAATTCATTAAAAATTGAGTATTTTATGAAAATGTTATTATGTATAACCTAATATCTTTAATATAATTAGCGACTCACCTTCGCTTCGCTAAGGTTCATCCCTAGGTACATTTTGACGCTTAGTATAAAATAGATTTTTTTTTAAGTTTTTTCATGATTTTTTCCGATGTTGTAATAGTTATTCTGCTATTCAGGGTGAAGACAAATCCAACAAATCAATCATAAAAATCGGTCTAGCAGTTCTCGAGTATAAGTGAAAGAAAAGAAAAAAAAAGAAAGATGAAAAGTATCTAAAATGTTGACCGGGGATATAAGGTACTACCATGCAAAATTTCATTTACCGATCATTTCATCAATCGGTCCATCAGTTTCGGAGATAAGCCCGTACAAACAGACAAACAGACAGAGAAACAAAAAATTAAAAAAAATCTGGATTTGTTCTATTTCTCTTCTTACATCCGCCTGGATCGGTTATTAGAATTTTTTCTATGTACAGACATTCGACCTCTACAGTTTTATTATATGTATAGATGTGAAAGTTTGTGTAACAGCTGGACGAATTTGGATGACATTTATCACACAGATACACTATGACCTAAAGCAACACACAGGCTACTGTTAGGCACCAAAGCAAGCACCAAAGAAGCGAAAGTACATTACTTTTTGTAACAATGTTTTAAAAAGTTCGTTAAAATTATTATCAGTAAATTATAACTATATTATTTGTCTCATTAAATATGTATTAAAAGCCTTGGGTTAGTACTACATTTTAAAGTAAAACAATTTCATATACTGTATTATTTTTGTCTAATGCTTAAGAGCTTTCAGGCAAAATTATTGAAAAGAAAAAATATAATAAATAATAATTTGTAAAGGCACAGAAACAGACTTTTTTGTACTTAATGATTTTTTAATTATAAAAAAACATGCAAATAACATTTATTAACAAGTTTCTCTCAAAAAACCTCCTTAAAAGTAAAAATTCCTTATGAATATATCATAGTGCCAAAAATAAATCTTAATATTACAAATTTGTATATAAAATTACTTTAGTTAATTTTACAAAAAATTCTAAAAATATAGAGCAATTAGGATAGGCTTACATGAACAGTAGCGATCTTCCTCATTTCCTTCAAGCCCTTATTTACTTTTACTTTGCCGACGCAAAAATTTTTATTTATTTCAGACTAAATCAGTTGAAATTTGATACATTCTGTGTTGGAGAACCTAATTGCAAATTAAGTTTTATTTTAATGGTAATTTTTATGAATTTGGAAACTCCTTTCATAATAGCTACCCATTTCAGCTCTTTGTATCGATTGTAAATAAAATTGGCCAAATGAATATTGTTAGGATCCTACTAGGACGTTAAAGTAGATTTTATAATTTTGCTGGTTTATTACCGTCAATAATAATAATTAGAGGCGTCCGTTAGCAATGGGCTTTGTGCAGGCGAGTGCGGCTAAACTGCTACAGACCACCGTCCAAGCGTCATCTCCGCTCTGCGTATCGCGCCTAAGACCGGTTCCCAACAAATATTGCAAAGTACTCTTTATCTCGGATGTAAATATCTAAACATGCTCAATATCTTACAGAATCCACTCACGGAAAAGAAATTAAACGTAATGAAGGAATATGAACCCAAAAAATATTCAAGACTACCCGAAGTATTAACACATCAAGATGGAAGAAATAATCCCAATCACTTTCAAACTTACGATATTAATAAAGTGTAAATATTTATTTATGTATGAAAATCGCTTTTAATGAGTCAAACGCCTAAAATATTCAATGTAAAATAAATGCTTAACAATACTTCACAAAAGATTACTTTTTGCAATTTTAAGCTCATAACAGCATCGTTAAATGTTTTATAGAAGAATAGTTGTATTGTTATATTTTAAAGTATTCGGTTCCCGAGAATTGTATAAAAATTTGTTCCCGTACTTTTAGTATAAGATACATCTATACATATAATAAAATTGTAAATAAGCCGAATCTGTACATTAAATATTTTTTGGAATATCTTATTGAAATAAACATTATTATCGATACAGAGGCCGAATCTATAGTTTTTAGAATTTTTGTCTGTCTGTCCGCCCGTCCGTCCGTCCGTCCATCCGTCCGTATGTCTGTCTGTCTGTCTGTTACCGCATCACAGAAAAACCACTAGAGAGATTTTCATGAACTTTGGTATGGTCATAGCTGGTTATCCGGGTCAGCATATAGGATACTTTTTACCGCGGGAAAATATCTCATTTCTGAGAAAAAATACAAAAACTGCATTGTAAGAGTATACTAATATGTAAAACTTAAGAATTTGGTTATTGGTCATCTGAACGCGGGCGGAGCCGCGGTCAATGCTAGTTTAAAATAAAATAATTATCCACTCTCGCTTTGCTCAAGTTTTAAAAACTCCGCACGCGTAATTCAATTATGTATTACTATATCTTTAAAATTATACCCTTTGTTTTATTCTGATGTATCCTTATCTATACTTATTATAAAAATAAGTCCCCCGGCCGCGTCTTTCTGTCCTCCTGTCTGTCCTCCTGTCTGTCCTCCTGTCTGTCTGTACGCGATAAACTCGAAAACTACTGAACGGATTTTTATACGGTTTTCAACAATAGAAAGAGTAATTCTTGAGGAAGGTTTAGGTATATAATTTATTATGCTTTTATGTAAATTAGCTGAAATACGGCGACAAATGTTGAAGAGGTCGCAAAAAATCTCGCCAAATGGGAACTTTCCACGCGAACGCCGCGTAAACTAGCAAAGATACAGTTAAGTAATGTACTAGAGAATTCAAAATCTATAAAAATGCTACAAAAAAGTCCGCGATAGCATATCTCTATCTCTTACGGTTGACTTACAATAACCACTTTTATGTTAACATTTTTAATTAAAAACATTACGTTATTTTCAAAGTTATTTTCTTTAGTTCGGTATTAATCCTTATCCAAATGAATATTTTAGTTAGCTTAGTCATTTAATGCAGATTAAAATTGCTCTTTACACTAAATCAATCAGATGAATAGTTTTTGAGATATCGTTGTTAGAAGTAATTAGTAGCGAAACATTTTTAATGCTTGGCGAGCATTGAGATGCCTACGGCGAGTCCATCCCCTCTGCCCCGACCGCCTGCTCAAGCTATATAAACCGGGCGATGTAGCGCGCGATCCTAGGATACTTTTTACCGCGGGAAAATATCTTATTTCTGAGGAAAAATACAAAAACTGCAATGTAAGAGTATACTAATATGTAACACCTAAGAATTTAGTTTTTGGTCATCTGAACGCGGGCGGAGCCGCGGGCAATGCTAGTAATATTATAAATGCGAAAGTTTATCGAAAGGATGTCTGGATGTATAGATGTATGGATGTTTGTTACTCTTTCACGCAAAAACTACTGAATATATTTTAATGAAACTCTACATGAACGAGTGGATAATTCGTTCATGAAACTCTACTATATATAGATTATACATCAGAAGAACACAAAGGCTTTATATCCCGGTAAAATACACGGTTCCCGTGGCATATATTTTTTTCCTATATTGCTATATTACTGGAAAGTTTCATCCCTCCTCACA